AGCCTAGGCTTTGAAATCAGACAGATTGTTTTCAAATCCTGCCCCTTCCAATTAAGCAACTGTGTGACTGTGGGCATGTTTCTTACCCATTCTGGACTTAAATTTCTAATTTGTAAAATGGGGTCAATAATACCTGCATTATACGCTTGTTATGAGATTATATGAAATGCTTAGTACAGTGCCTGGCACATAGTAAGCGCTCAATAAATCGTTGCTATTATTATTATTATAACATAAATCAGCATTCTATAACTGAATGTGATAGTTTATTCCTGTATTTGTAAGTATCAGCATTCTATAACTGAATGTGATAGTTTTTTCCTGTATTTGTAAATTTTAATATTTTAATATCTTATTTATGCTCTCTCAAAATAAAGTGCATATGATGAATTAAAAAGGACAGAAGGAATAAAAAATAAGTTTTAATAATTTTCTTTTCTGATGAAGGATATCTGTGCAATAATTCCTTTGTCACTAACATACTCCTTGATCTGTAGTGATTCTTTAGGGTCTATATATAATGTGGTTATTATTGCATGACACTATTTATATAGTAGAATGAAGCAACGACTTTATTTTGACATAAATGCATTCCTATTCTCCTGATAATAATCCATCCAAATGGCTGCACTTTTAAGATAAATAAGTTACTCTGGTATGGGGGGTAAAGGTAAACCTATATAGGACCTTCTTTGTTTCCCCAATAAGTTATTTGTTCAGCTTCCTTTGAGAGAAATTGTGTAAGTCTAAATAATCTTACCAGGAAAGGACAATTCCTCATGGGTGGCTTCTGAAATTCTTAGTATCGCATGTATTCTATGTTGGCATTTAAAGTTTAAAGTAGTGGAGTACTGAGTGGTCATGTATCTGGTGCCAGCTGCTGAGCAACAGAACAGTCAGTGCCTTAAATCTAGCCCCACTACCAATGCCTGTATTACTATAGTACTCTCAAGTCCCAAACCTTTAAGTGTTTTAACTTGGAGTATTTGGTGTTCTGGTATATATATCTGGTAGTCTTTGCTGTCCAGCACCTTGCTGCTTGACTAACTTTCCTTGTGTACAGTTCTGACCCCACTATTTCTTTGTGCAAACACCTTCACCCCTTTGCCAACAGCCCATTGTCTATTTCATTAGTTGCTCTTTAAATCATGGCCCAGTGCCAGTGTACCTTATCAGTTTTATCTGTCAGTGTCCTCTTTCATGTAAAATACAAAGTAGTCCCTGTTTTCCTCAGCCTTATCTGACCAAGTATGAAGGGCCTACAGTCTATAGCTCAACTATGATCCCTTAAATGTGTCATTTAAGCTCTGGTTGCTAAGATCAGAAATTACATGTATTACCTGAAGTCAGGGTGCTGGAGATGATTCCACCAAGCTATAGTTTCTTTCCTATTTTCCACTGTATGTGCCAGACTGTAGGGGTGGGTTTATTCTCTAATTTTCTTCTTAAGCCTCTAGTCTTCTAAACTAGAACATCTTTGGAGACCCCCAGCTTCCTTGTTCAGGGTTCTGAATGCAACTCATTTATTTTGGGCTCTGAATACAAGGCCCCCTATCTGGGCACCTGAAACAATTGCACAGAGATCTAACCCTCATTCTTAGGTTCTTGCCAGCCTTACCTCCTGAGTATCATCACGTTATGTGGCATCATTATTGGGCTTCAAATTGCTCTATTTGTTCTCCTGTATGTGAATGCTAGCCTGGAATGTACTTAAGTTTACTGTACCATAGATTTGGCATCTAGAGAGGGGCTTGGCAAACTAAGGTCCTGAGGCCGAATTGAGCTTAATATTTTTTTCTTTAATAAAGTTTTATTGTAGCATAGCCATTCCATTAATTTACTTATTATCTATGGCTGCATTACAATGGCAGAGTTGAGGGCCTGCAACAGAAACCACATGGCTGGCAAAGCCTTAAATATTTACTACCTGATCCTCACAGAAAATGTCTGCTGACCACAATCCAGAGGCAGTTCCTCTAGCCTAGATACTTTTTTATTCTTGATAATTCCCCATTCCCATCTTATCAACTGGCCCAGAAGGCCAGTTTATTGAGATAATGAAGATAGGTTCCAATTCACGAAGCTGCAGGTGTCCCTTGGTATCTGTGGAATATTGGTTCAAGGATTCCCCACAGATACCAAAATCCGCAGATGCTCAAGACCCTTCTATAAAGTAGTATAGTGGTCTATGCACATCATCCTGCATAATTTAAATCATTTCTAGATTACTTATAATACTTAAGACAATATAAATGCTATGTAAATAGTTGTTATACACTATTATTTAGGAAATATTGATAAGAAAAAGTTTGTATATGTTCAGTATGACACAATCAAATTTATTTTTCTGAATATTTTCAATGTGCAGTTGGTTGAATCCACAGATGTGTAACCAGCAGATACAGAGGGCCATCTGTACTTTCTTTTACTGGAATTTACCTGCATCCTCTTTGTCATCTCCCTAAAATGTCCTTTCCCTGCATTCTTGTTTTTACTGGAATTTCCCTGCATCTTCCTGCATTCTTCTTAATGGAAGAAATTCCATAGTCTGAAACATTATGAGTGTCTCATTATATGTGTTTTTCTTGTAGGCAGGGTCTCACTATGTTGCAATCCTCTTGTTTTACCAGCCCTAGTAAAGTAGCTGGGATTACAGGTGGGTGACAAAATGTCTGACTTTTAGGATAGGTGGGAATTGAACCTAGACCTCCCATGTGACCTCATTCTGCTAAGTAGTAGTATCTACCAATGTGGGCTACTGTGGCTGGGTCTCATGATATATCATTTGATTCAAGATCTAGCCCTACTATGGAATTCTTTCAATGTTGCCAATATCTTTCAACATGACCCCTCTGTTTCTCTAATGTTAGGCATTTCATTCTTCCGTGTCTCTAACTGCAGTTTTCTAATTTCCATAGATTCTAATTTCTTCAATGGCCAGATATTACAAATATTACAGCATCCATGTCTTTAAGTCTCTGGCCTGCAGCATTCCCAATGTTCATGTTTTCTAATCTCCACAGTATTGAGATCATTAAAAGTCTAGGTTTTCTGGAGTCAGCAGGTGACATGATGGTTAAGACAATGGACTCCCACATGACTAACTGCAATTTGAGTCCGGACCTGTTGGCTTGAAAATTATGCCAGGTGCATGTGTGTGTGCGTGTGTGTGCCCAAAATCCCAGGGAAAGAATAGAGAAGAAGGGATTTCAGCACAGCCTTCACCCTGGGGGGTGATTTCTCACTTTCCCCTTACTCTCTCTCTGTATGTCTCTAGCAAGTGCACATGCCCTATGGCAAAAAAAAAACTGTAAAAAAAAAAAAGTCTAGGTCTTCCAATATCTCTATTAACCTTCAAGATCCAGGCCTTGCCTTTCAGGGTACAGAGTTCTAACATCCAAGTCTTCTATGGTCCTAGTCTTCCAAGGTCTCCTGTATTCAGTATTTCGAGTCCATGAATAAAGACGTCTTCAAAAAGTTCGTGGAAAATATGTATCACAGATTTCAATTTTTTTCACACCAAATAAACTCATACTTTAACTCTGTTTTCCTCACAAACTTTTGAAGCCCCTTCATATTTCATAGTATCCAATCTAGTTTTGATGATATCTTCTAGCATTTACACCATTTAATCTAATTTCCATATCATTTAATGTTTTCTAAATCCACTTACTATGTATTTTTATTGCCAGTTCTTCCAATGTCCAAGTCTTTCAATATGTTCAATAACCAGATCTTCCAACATTCAAGTGTTCAAGTATCTCCACTGTCTAAATGACTAGGTATCAATATCCAGATTCCTTAATCTGCATTTCCAGATATCTAGGGCTACCAGCATCCTTGACTTCCAGCATCATTAAAATTTAATTCTTCCAAATATTATGTCCTTGGACATGAATATATTAATCTCCAAGTTCTCCTATAAATCTGAATATAAACGGTTTTAGATTCTAGGATTTCTAAGTGTCTAAATACTCTATTGTCTATACTGCCAGAGTTCAGGGGTTCTGAGGTACAGGACGTGGAATATTTTTAGTGTCCTGGGCTTTCAGTGTATATGGCTCTAATATCCAATATCACAATATTAAGGGCCTCCAAAGTTTCCAATGTCCAGAGTAACCAATGTCTTGAAAATTCAAGGTTTCCAATGTCTCCAATATCCTATGCTTCCAATGTTTCCAATGTCCAGGGTTTCCAATGGCGCCAGTGTCAAGGTCTTCCAACACCTACGGGTCTTCCAGCAACTCCAAGTCTTCCAAGAACCTCAAGGTCTTCCATACAATCCCGGTCTTCCAGAAAATCCACGTCTTCCTGACAATCCATGTCTTCCAGAAGAGTACACGTCTTCCGATAACCTCCAAGTCTTCCAGTAAATCCAGTCTTCCAGCAATTATAGGTCTTCCACAAAATCTAAAGCTTCCAGGAAAATCCACGTCTTCCAGAAAATCCATGTCTTCCAATAATTTCAAGATCTTCCATCAAATCCAGATCTTCCTAATTGATGTCTTCCAACAGTTTCAAGGTCTTCCAGCCAACCTATGTCTTCCAGAAAAATCTATGTCTTCCATCAACTACAAGTCTTCCAACCAATTCGGTTCTTCCAGAAAAATCCAGAACTTCCAGTCAATAAATGTCTTCCAGAAAAAAATCCAGGCCTTCCAGTCAGTGTACGTCTTCCAGAAAAATCTACGTCTTCCACAAAATCCAGGCCTTCCAATCAGTCCTCGTCTTCCAGAAAAATCTAAGTCTTCCAGCCAATCTATGTCTTCCACCAAATCAAGTCTTCCAACCAACCCATGTCTTCCAGTCAAAATCTGTGTCTTCCACTAAATCCAGGTCTTCCAATAAAACCACGTCTTCCAGGAAATACATGTCTTCCAATAACCTCCAGGTCTTCCAGCTAATATGTCTTCCTGAAGAGCCACGTCTTCCAGAAAATCCATTTCTTCCAGTAACCTTCTGGTCTTCCAGCAAATCCATGTCTTCCAAACAATCCAGGTTTTCCAGACAATTTGGGTCTTCCTGAAAATTCACGTCTTCCAAAAAGCTGAGTCTTCCAGAAAATCAAAGTCTTCCAGTTACCTCCAGGTCTTCCAACCTATCCCTGTCTTCCAGAAAATCCTCGTCTTCCATCAAATTCTTGTCTTCCATCAAATCCATGGCTTCCAGCAAATCCATGTCCTCCAACAAAGCCACGTCTTCCATCAAATTCATGTCTTCCAGCCTACCTAGGTCTTCCAATGAAACTACGTCTTCCAGAAAATCCCTATCTTCCAACAAGGTCGTGTCTTCCAGAAAATCTACGTCTTCCAACTAAGCCACGTCTTCCAACAAATCCATGTCTTCCTACACCTCCAGGTCTTCCAGCATCTCCAGGGCTTCCAGCATCTGCTCGTCTTCCAGCATCTCTGTGTCTTCCAACATCTCCGCATCTTCCAGCATCTTCACGTCTTCCAACATCTTCCGGTCTTCCGACAACTACCCAGTCTTCCATCAGCGGGCTCAAGATCCACGTCTTCCGATGTCTCCAGAGTGCTGATCTTCTAACATTCAGGTCTTCCGGTGTCTGCAATATCCAGGTATTCTAAAATATTCTATAATACAGGTCTTCTAACATTTCCCCAGGTCCAGACTGTTTAAAATCTAGTCTTTCCC